ATACGTATCTTCACGTTTAATCTTATCATACCTTACACAAGGTGTCATTGAGTCTTAGAAAATACAACACTACATACGGTATCTCTGATTTAGAATTATATAATAAGGGAGCTACCATTTGATTTTTATGGGGGGGGGGGGGGCTAGGATGAAAAATTTTGTCCTGCATTTTTTTTTAGTTGTAATCTCTGTCCTGCCTTTTTATTTTTCACTCTATTCGGTCCTGCCTTTTTTTTTATTAGTTTATCCTGAGTTTTTTTACATAAATTGTCATCCTGCCTTTTTTTTTTGCCAAGTTGCTCATCCTGCCTTTTTTTTTTTAACTCAAAACTCCTGTCCTGCCTTTTTTTTTTTAAATTTCATCCTAGCCCCCCCCCCCCCCCCCCCCCCCCCCATAAAAATCAAGTGGTAGCTCCCTAAGCTACGTACTGTACACACTGCAAGAATCCTATAGACGTAGATGATTTTATGTACATGTAACATTACATTCGGCAATTGCGTCATAGATAATAATAATAATAAATTACGCGGGGTTTTTTTTGGCATGGTGTTTTCGGGTTTTTGTCGACTTATGGATTTTTGTTGTCCCTTTGGCTTCTTCTGCCTCTTTTTACAGCAAATGCAAGTCTAAGATACTTGTACATACGGCATCATATAGTCATAAATGGTACCATAAACAATGAAGGTATTTTTAAGTCTTTGATGATATAAACCCCACATAATACCTCTTTAAGTCTCACAAGATGTGATACTTTGCACATACTCCTATCTTAATGTCTTAGACAATATGATACTCTACATATAGTATCACCAAGTCTTAGATAATCTGCATATGATATCTTCACTTTTATATCATATCATGCTATACAAAATCATCATACCGTCTCACATCATAACAAGCTACAAACAGCATGTTCAACTGCATCTAAATGATATGATATAAGTGCATACATCATCATCAAAGTTATGGATATGAATTCTGAAGTTTAAGATGAAACCATACTTTACAATCGGCATATGCGAGTCTAAGATGATTCCACACAGCCCATTAATTTATAGTCATATTGGATTTCTTGATAGGACAATCTCACTAAACACTAAATCAAAGCTTTCTAAGTAACATTCAGGGATTATTTGATTTCATATAACATCATCTTTTTATAATTTTCTGTATGGTTTCAATGTAAAAAAATATCCTCCTTATTTTGAGCTATTTAGTGAGAGAACGTCATCTACATAGTGGAAAGTAAAGTTAAAGGATACTGCTAACTTCTTTTCTTTCTTCCTAAGAAGTTCCTGTATGAAGTCAGCCTCATATGAATAAAGGAACAAGTCGGCAAGATGAGGAGCACAGTTGGTTCCCACGGGAATGCTGATTGTTTGTTGAAAAACACGTCCTCCAAACGTAACAAATACGTTGTCAATCAAGAAATCAAGCATCTAGATAATTTCAGTTGCAGAGAATTTTTTGTTTGAATCTGAGTGATTTTTTTTTTACAAAGTACAATTTACCAATGTTTCCCCCCTTAGACAAGTACTGGTATCTACGTTGGCCATTCTTTTTTAAGAAACAAAGGAAGCCCAACTCTTTTAATTTGTCTTCAAGTTTGAAATGGGGAAACTTGTGTATAGTGTAGAAAAGTCAAATGGTTTTAATACTTTTTAGTATCCACATCTGATTCACGCCACCTCCAGAATATGTAGTTTCACAATAACTTTGAAGTCCGGCTTTGATTGCTGATAAAGATGAGGTTGATTTTAGAACGTGGTTTCATGGAGCACTTGGAAGACCCGGCAGTATTACTTGTTTGTAAGAAAACTTATGTAGTTTGGGTATCCAATACAGCGATGGAAGATCCAGTTCTCTCAGTGGTTGAAATTCCAAAGGAACATAGAACAGACATATGATTATTCATTAGTTCCTCCTTGCTAAGTGTTGGGGTATATGTTAAATTTCCAAGTGAATTGTTAATACCTAATCCATTTATCAAGCAGTTTATGTAATGTGATTTTCACACAAAAACGATGTTGTTTGGGGCTAATTATCTGCGGGGATAACAACATATTTGTCGTGGAGGTAGGACAGGTGTTTTGAAACATTAGGATCTTTAAGGATTGGTGTAGCATGGGTATTCATAGAACCATTAAGTTTTTTTAATTATGATTTGTATCAACGACCTCGAAGTCTTTATCCATTCGGAAAGAGTATCTACGTCTTCTTTCTCGCGTTTAACCCATTGCCTGGCATAGTTCTCGACTGAATCCATCAGTATTTTGAAGTTGTGTTTCCAATTGACAGATTTGGGCTCATGATATTTCGGGCCATTGGATAACACGTTTTGTAGAGAAGAGTTATTGACAATGTCTAGGTCACCAGTAATAACGTGACCAGCTGGATTATATATGAATGAAGAACAAACACAGTTGCAATCAGGAGGTTAAGACTTACAATCGTCAATATTGAGATCCTGTTATACGTGTTTGTAATTGAAAATTTAAGTTGCAATTGGTTTTGTATAGGTATAAGAAATGGTAGGTACAAACTGATCTTTAAAATAGGGAGGTATTTTCGAGTGAACTGATTTATGATGAAGGACATTGCCCAAGTTGATGGCATCGAGTCCTATGTTAGCGATTGCAAGTTTTAGCAAGGATCTTTTCTCCTTTTCATCTTTTCCATTGCGAACTCTGGTTTACAAAGTCTGTGACTTGCAATATCCGAGATGATAGATGTAAGTTTGTATTGGTTTGAATGGGGGTTTGTAACAGTGGTTTCCAAACATTGGTTGTACAGAGAATGAAAGGGGTAATAAATAAAGCTTCGTACGAATGTGATGAATATCAAACGGCTTTTGTATAATCGGTAGCAGGTCATTAATATAGCCATAATGGAGAGTAGGTAATGTATAATGACGATAACCATGACTGCATCTACGTCGAGGAGTAGAGTTAAGCCGGGGTCACACATTCACGATTTTACTGCCGTCCTTTTACTGTCGTCCTTGATAGGACCATTCCCGATTAAAATTTGTCAAAGATATGTTTAAGATCCTGTGAATCGTGGCTGGAAAATTTAAACTTTTAATTTAAATTTATTAAAACATTTATTTAATCACGACAACAATCAGATATTGTTCAGGAAGCGTTTAAATTCAGCCGTTTTCAGCCGAATTTGTCCCGATTATCCCGTTCTCAATCCGATTCTTATCCGATTTGTATCTTTCGCATGGTAAAAAACGACAGAATATGTCCCGACATCGTCCCGATTCTGTCAAATGCGACCCGACAGAGATCAGACATTGATCAGACAGTAGACCGACGCTGACGGAAGAAATCCGATAGAAAACCGTTTCATGTGATAGTCCCGACCTATTAAAAATCGCCATATTCGGAATGATCCGGGTTCTGTCGGAACGCAATCTTATCAAAGTCTGCTGTATCGTATTACAAACGCCTTTTCTGTACTCAGTCGTATCGTGTTCTGCAATTATCGGTACTCTGACGTGGGTATAATTACCGAATTTCGTATCAATAACAGGACTGTTCCGGAACAAAGACGGTTCGCATTCGGTAAGATCTGAATGCAATCTTGACTCAATCGCCAAAACAGCAATATTTTTTTTCTCCAGATCATGCCCGTTCCACAGGACACCGTCCAGAATACACAGAACATTGTTACGATTTTAATCCGATACAGCAGAATCTGTCACGACATAGTCACGATTGTAATCCGACTAGACAAAATCGGCTGAGTTTCCCCGAATGTTACGGAACGCACCTAACTGTCGGGGTGCTTGACCGATCTCTCCGATCCGTAGGAACCTGTTACGAACGTATACGACTGCGTTCAGACAATGATGGACATTCCAGATTATTGAGGATAGTAATCCGACTTTTTCACTTTTCGTGTCTTAGCGCTGTCTTGATGTCAACGGGAGCCATAATCGGCACTGTGTGAATGCCACATTCAAAATATTCATCACATTCACCGACCTACAGGAAGGACTAGATAGAATACTTGTACCATCAATTTTGTCATTGAAACAATATGGTGTCGCAGTTCCCAATTGTCGAATCCGTTAGGTTTCTTTTTGTCTACGGAGAAGTGTTGCAAGATGAGGATTGTTAGTCTTGTGGTATACTTTTTCGATGCTGCGAGCTTGCATAAAAAGGATTGAATGATCAGGCTGGCAAAACTGCTTGTAAACGATGTAGCTTGCATTGTTGTTTACGTCTGATCTATGGCCGCACATGTGTTTATTTAGCCTTCCATTCGTTTCACCAACATAATGTTATGTTTCAGCCATACCGATTGTAACGTAGATACATCTTTTGGTATTCAGAAAGGTTGTGAGGAAAGACTATTACGTAAATTATGTTGATTAAATTCTAAAGTATCATATCTTATTTGAATGTCAGGGTTATCAAATGATCTGACATTATGGTAAATAAAAAAGGTAGGGCCCAGATTGTTCCATTTGAACTTTAATCTTTTCCTTAAAAGGATATAAAATTGAACAACAATGCAAAAGGACGCTAAATAACGACAATAGAACAAACTGAATATGCTTTTGATCAACATTTTTTTTATAATTCCACTATACTATACCTTTATCATCGTTTGTCAAATGTTGAATCTTTCAAAACAAGAATGCACGTGTGTTCGTTCTTAGCATACCCCTACTTATAAATCAAAGTATGGGAAAACAGGAGGTATGTGTCCGAACGATTCGGAAAGAGTCCATACATAACAACTAAACACTGTTGAATTACTGTTAAATATGAAGTCATTCCGTTCAATAGTGTGTGAGAAAAGTGTGAATAAAAATGTTTCAAAGTCATTCAACATACTGAAAAAATACTAAGAATCGGCAAACAGAAAATAGGTATTTAACAGACCAGAAAAGTGTCGGCAAACAGGAAATAGGTATCAGACAGGCCAAAAAAGTGAGCACACGTTACAACGCATTACGAGTTAAGATATAATTTTAAAAACTTACTTTTATCACACTGACTTCCCGCAAAGCCTCTAGTACATTTGCACTTTGATGCCAGTTGTCCATCACAGGACCCAGGATAACATCTAGTACTGTCAGATCTCCATGAACAAGCCTCTGCAATTAAGGGGGAAATTGAAGAAAAGAAAAATCTTGAAAAAAACTTTTAAATTATTTATCCTGTTCTTCAATAAACTGATGTTTTACAAAGACACTTTTTTACAATCCTTACACAGTTATGCCATAAATTTTCCAAATTTATTTACATTCAATCAAAATTGAACCACACGTTTTATTTAAAACATACTTACTATTGCAATTCCTGTTATCAGACGATAAAGTGTATGCTTCCCAATTTTTCTGGGGCTTGACAGATCCTTCACAGTATACACAACGGTTGTCAGAGTATCCACTGCATTGTCTATGGTTGCAGTGGGAAATCTTTGGACAAACTTTTAAAAAAGTAAGATATCAAATTGATCGTTGCAAAATATTAGATGGTCTGAAATAACAAACGACAGTTTCAGTATCGCTTGTTCAATATGCTCAATAGGTTAAAAGACCACTGTTTGTGTTGGATAACCTCCATCTCTCATGTTCAATTAAAGTAACTGCAATAGGTAATATCAACTTCTAGGTTTTTTTCTGTAGTTTGTGTTACTCCATCTTTAGTTTTCTTTTTGAACTGTTATACATCATTTCCTCTATAATTTTTCTATACGTAAGATTTTTCAGAATTGTTTGATTTATCTTTGTCAGATGCTTACTATTTAAAGTGAAGCAAGCTGCGTATTCGACAGTAATCAAAAGTTCATCAATCGTAATCCTTTTAAGAAATGAATGCAACGCAGATTGAACAGGCTTTGATTCATATGAATGCTAGTGACATAGGACATTTAAAACTTTATAAAGATAATTCCGTTTAGTACTTATCATTTACAATAACTATTAATCAACAAAATGTAAATAAAACTTTATAAATTTTATTCGTCCGAAGCACTTTTCTTGATTCACTTTTATCGGGAGCACTCAAATGCAAATATTTTATATAGATATGCCTTGATGCGTATGTTTGAGTTGATAGCAAATGACACTGTATGAAAAGGAGAACAAATATAAAGGTTTTACAAATGTTATATTTCAGTTGTCATCCTACGGCATTTGAGCATCAAGGTAATCAAATGCTATGCTTAACCACTGCACTTAATCAATAAACTGTTGACACAGAGATATGTCTCGCCTGTCGGCATAAAATTCAAAAAAACAAAAAAAAAAACAATCTGATGGACAACAACATTACTACTTAGTTCAGTCACTGGACCATGATCTAGTGGGCAGGGTCTGAAAATGGTCGACAAACTTAGATATACAGACAATAATGTAACTTTGTAGAAAATATTGTTGTTTATTGTAAGTAGCTCCTATCAATATAAAAGAAAAACTTTAACATTGAAAATTGCTAATTAATTCAAAGTCTCTACGACTGATATGTACTGATAGTAATGCAACGTCATACAAAATATCATTGATCTATCACAAGCAATTTTTATCAAACAGACTTAAGCAGAAAAACTTAACATTGAAAATTACTAACTAATTCGAGTTCACCGGACCATTACATAAGGAGCAGGGCCGCAAAATAGTCATCAAACTAATATGAACTGATAGTAGTGCAACTTCATACAAAATATCATTGATCAATCACAAGTAGATCATATCAAACTAAAGTAAGCAGAAAACTTAACATTTGAAATTGCTAATTAATTCAAAGCCACTGGACCATGTCCTAGGGGACAGGGCATCAACATAGTTGTCAAGGTGATGTGAACTGATAGTAATGCAACTTTGTATTAAATATCAATGATTTATCAAAGGTAGTTTCTATCGAACTAACTTAGGCAAAAAACTTAATAATTGTTGATGCCTTCACCGTCACCGTCGCAGGAAAATCATTCCCTATGTCTCGCTTTCCGCGGCTTTTGACGCGGGCGAGAAAAAAAAATGAATTTCTCAAAAGTTTCATATAAAATTTGGGAACATCCTGGTGTAATTTGTTATGTGAGAGGCAAAAAGATACTACTTGAATATTTTTGCTGTCAATAGAAGCGATTATAAATCGTTGAAAGAACAGTACACCAGTAAACAGTTTGGAAACCATATATCTCTTTGTATTTTACATTTCTTGTAAAGCAACACTCCAGCAGTACCCACATATGAAGTTATAGACAAAAGATGTTCTGAAATAGGCGCAGAAGATATTAAAGGGACACTAAAAATGCATAGGTAGAAGCCAAACCAAAAATCCCATGAAAAAAAACATAAACAACGAAAAGACAAACTATAGTTTACAAAACACTACATAGAAAACTTAAAATTATCAGAAACGAACCCTACAAAAACCTAGAGTTATCACATGTTGCTCCTGAACGGTAAGCCGATTCTGCTCAACAAAAAGTAAAATAACAAAAATACCGAACTCCGAGGAAAATTCAAAACGGAAAGTCCCTAATCAAATGGCAAAATCAAAAGCTCAAACACATCAAACGATGGATAACAACTGGCATATTTCTGACTTGGTACAAGCATGTTCTTATGTAGAAAATGGTGGAATAAACCTGGTTTTATAGCTAGCTAAACCTCTCACTTGTATGACAGTCGCATAAAATTCAATTATATTGACAACGATGAGGTAACAAAACAAACAGACATTCTAGGTAAAAATGTCAAAAACAGGGGTACAGCAGTCAACATTGTGTTATAATCCTAATAACTATAAAAACAAACAAATATGTCAACAAAGAAACACAAAAAGGCATATAGACAGCACATTAGCAAAAAATGAATACAAAAAATTACCATAGCACAATAACACAATGACGGGATGTATAAGTACCGAGCCACGTCAAATGGATATTACCAAAAATAAGACTAAACAGTAGTAAACTGAACTTTCTTTAGAAAAAGGACGAGACGTTCTTTGACATACCCCTGGTTCATCAACTTTTTGCTCAGACACTGGTGATGTTTTAGAAAGTCTGAGTAGCAGCTGCTAGCTCTTGAATACCGAATAAGTTGGGAAATGTATATCTCATATGCAGGGGAAGTTGTTATAGTGCTACTAAGGTGGGGGAAATGGATAATTTCAAAAATAAAATCGTCTCGTTTGTCATAGATTCTGGTACTGAGATGACCGCTTATGTCAAATTCGAGATATAAGTCTAAACATGAGGCTGAGAAGTCGTGTCTGTTGTTTCTTTAATTTGTAGTTCTGGAGGATATATTAATGGAACCCAATCAGAAAAGTTCGGATTGTTAACGGAAAGAACATCATCAATATATCTGAATGCGAAATTTAATGATCTGGCTTCTTTGATCTTCTTGTTTTTGATAAGTGTCTGAAGGAACTCCGACTCATAGGACAATAAGAAGAGGTCGGCAAGGAGAGGCGCACAGTTCGTTCCCATAGGAATGCCGTCAATTTGTTGAAAAAGTATACCTCCAATTTCAACTAACAATTGGCACCTGTCGCGCTGTTTATTTAGAATTTGATCGAAAGAAGAGGAAGGTAACCACAATTATAACATACCCGTTGTCATTTGTGATACAGATATTCAATAACGGTAAAAAAAATTGTAAATGAGGTCCGTAAAACTTTCAAAGGGATGACATCAACCTTTCCTTTAGTTAATTAGCTTCAATGAAATCAGAAGCACGCCATCAGGGAATTCGTGATATTTAACGCAGCCACTGGTATATCGTATCAACTGGGAGATATATACTTTACATGCAGGGGCTGGTGATGGAATATAGAGATAGAACGTTAACAATTATGAAGCAAAATGATTTTTTTGTGTTTTCGGTCTCAATCGACCAAGTTTGTCAATTTCTTGATTTAAGTCAAGATATGAGACAGACTAAACTGTATCTGTGGTATTCTTAATTTCAAGTTCAATGAGATAGATGCGTTCAAAATGATTTCTTAAGTTTGAATAAATCAGGGACAAGACATCAGCTATATAGCCGAAAGTGAAGTTAAAGGATAATGCCTTTTTCCTGATGTAAAGTCTGTCTCATATGAATGAAAGAATACATTGGCTAGAAGAGGAGCACAATGTATTCCTATTGGAATGCCAATTGTTTGTTTAAAAAACATGTCTTAAAACGTAACAAATATGTTGACAATATAGAAATGAAGCATCACGAGAACATCAGTTTTAGAGAAAGTTTTGTTTGAAAATGTTTTTATGATATTGCAAGAGGAAATAGACTTAGATTTTATTCACCCTTAATGTCTTTCTAATGCTTTATATATATACAACTAATTCACATCACCCCTAGAAAGGTAGTTTTACAGTAACATCGAAGTTCGGCGTTGCATGACCTTGAATGCTGATAAAACTGATCATATTAGTTTGGATATTTCCTTTTTTCCGCAGACTCATGTTTTTCACAATGAATTAAATATGCATTTTCTGAATTTTTGTAAGTAAGAATTTAGATTTGTATCAATGTTTGTGTCTTGTTTTATGAGGTAGTACAGATGTCAAGGTTTAATATCTTTTGAGGTGATTTATTCTTGTTGAGTTTTTCGAATAGACTAAATTTAAACCACAATGGAACACATCCGAATTAATCCGGAAAAAATATGGGCAGTGCTAATTCCATTAAATTATAAGAACAAATAAAATAGCTTAGGTCGTGTTATAAAGCCTATACATGTACAAGAAGAATAAATTTTAATAAGTTTTAATTAGAGAAAACCAAATGCGTGTTATAATGAATCAACTTTCGTTAAAAACTCTCCATGGCATTACCATTAGACTGGTCCAAATTGAATGTTTATTCTACAGACAAAAGTCATACAACAAGATAAACAACTAAGGCATGTCGTGTCATTTGAGCGTGCCGATTGTGTTTTAATTGACGCAAATTACTAGTCAGACTAACCAGTGGTAAGTTTACTCTCCATAAATTACTTCAAATACAAGGCGCTGCATCATTCAGCATGCATTGTTAACTACTGGCTGAAATGAAAAAACAATAACTTGCTTCTGACGCCTGAAATCAGTCGGAGCATGATGTTGCTTTCCAAAAACTAACAGAACGTCTACATGATGATCTGTTTGTGCAAAAAAAAACATTTTCGTTGTCGTATAGTTTGCTAGATACATATTGTTCCTTTCTTCCAGATCGTTCATGATGCGGAAAAAAAGGTGAAAAGCAGTTTACGATCGGTCGAAATTTCAAATTATTACGATCTATTTCCGTCAAAATTTCGTATTCAAACAGCTTTACAATGTATTCCTACCTTTCTGATAAATATTATTGCTGGATAGTAGATGGTATGGGTCTTGTACAAAGTCTTTATGTTAAAAGTACAACAGTTTTGGAGATTTCACAAAGGAGGTCTTTAAAACCCTAATAGCTTGATGTGAAAATTTCGTGGACGTGT